CTTTCATGCCTAAAGCAGGACTAGAACTCATAGTCTCCTGGTTTCTAGCCTGGTGCCTTAACCACTAGACCAAACTTTTGAGTTGGTCTGTTTTGAATGGGTTTTGGTATAGAAAATAATAATAAAGCAAATGCCAGGCTGGATGTGAAATGAAGCAACATGTTTCTTGGTGTATTCCTTCAGCGGATGAGTTATCTTTTCATTTTGCATTTGTGCATTTGTCATCCACCTATGTGCCAAGTACATACAAGGTTCAAAGCACTTAGCACCTTTTGGGAAGCTGAGCCCAAATCTGATCAAAATCTGTTTAATTATCAGGACAAGATTAATCAATTTGATTATGGCTTTATAGAAACTGTTTTTCTCTGATTAACAAATGGAAACTTCTCTTTCTCTTTCAATGTCCCTATTCTATCCTGTTTCTTCTTCTACTCTAATCATTGCATTGGATCATGGCGAAGTTCACTTTGCTATTATGGCCATCAAGTTTCTCCATATGGGAATATTTTAAGTAGTACATTTCTGCAAATGTGGAAAAAATACTGCTGGTGGCATCTGTGCATCTACTCATTCATGTGTGTGTGTGTGTTGCAGCAGTTTTCATTGTTCCCCAGTTGTTAACTTATTCCAGCTATCACCCTGATTGTAGGAACTGCCATGGCTGTGTATGCACATTTCATTGGTTAACATTTCTGGATTTGGAAAAGTTAGGACTATTCTAATGGCATGGGTCTGAGAGGGCTCATCTAATGAAGGATGTAATTTATTAAGGGCTTGCTCTTCTTGAATCCATCTTGATGTTGGCATGATTAAAACAGAATTGTGTTGGGGAGGGCTTTTGCTTCAGAATATTTTCTAAGAGTTTGAGACAGCAGTGGGAAAGAAATTGTGTTAATAAAATGCATCTACAATAGGGATTGGCAGCTGGAAGCCAAGTAGGTGTGATCTAGCCCAGGAGGATAAGCAGGTGGGCTTCCAGGTGCCAATGTAGTGGCAGGCAAATTGTGCAGAGCAGATGAGGTCCCACCCCATCTGTCCGCAATCATTCTCCCAAAATTGCTGTCTCATAAATATATGTGAAGAGATTTGCTATCTGATAGAAGTTGACACCTTCCTAGCACCCAATAAATGCATTATTAAATTAATTCCTTTCTATTTCTCTCCCTCCGTGCCCCCCCCCCAACCTCCTCCATTCTCTTTGGGTCCTTCAAGACTCTCCTGGGTTTTACTTCTGGCTCAATGGAAAATTCAGTGAAACGTAAGACCAGCCATGGAAGTGTCTTCAGTTTCCGGATACGTGGCAGGGAAATGGGTTCAGAGGCAGATTTTGCTGATGATGACATTAGCACCGTTGGGGAAAGTGAAAGCCAACATGGGTCGCTGCTAATTCCAAGGAATGGGAGACGGCTGAGCATGCAGAGCCAAGGGAATTATAGCTCTCCAAACTACACACACAACAGCAAAAGGAACAGTTCAGTGGATTGCAATGGAGTGGTGTCACTGATTGGCGGTGGAGAAAACCTGGATCCAGCTACTCCAACAGATGTGCTGTTGCCACCAGTTATCACAGAGAAATATGGAACAGCTGACACGGTGGGTCTACTTTTATTTTTGCCTTGTCATTTGGATTTTCTTTGTCAGCTGCCAGGCTCACATAGCCCACCAACCAACCATATACTGTAACTTACAGAAGCTTGTCAGACAGACAGACCAACACAAGAAGACGGGTAGTAAAAATAGAATATTTACAGAGCCTTGGTGAGGATATTTATATAGCCCATGGCTGGTGGGCTGAGCTAGGCTTGCTAGATTAAATAAATAGAGTTTATTTAAGAGATACTCCTAAACAATGAGTTACTGTAGTTACTGGGGATTGGGATTAAGAATTCTTCTATCCATCTTCCCCCTATATATTAAGTGAAAAGGTCAGTTCCTTATGTTGCAGCCTGGATGCTTTATCAGTGAACATGATTAAGATTTTGGTTAAGATGATAATTCAGATGTCAGTGACTGCTAAAAATGCTTACTAGCCAACCCCTTGTCATTCCTAGGAATCAGTAGGCAAAAAAAAAAAAAAAGGTGTTGGACTCATTTGTTCTACAATACTTTCTAATAGTCTTTCCTTGTGTCTATAGTCACAAGTTGCTCTTGCTCCTGGGTTGGCTGTCTCATCCTTAGTAGATGTTGCTCTGGTTTAACTTTTCTGGAGAATAAAGAAAGCCAGTATAGTGTAGTGGTGAAAGTGTTGGATTGACCCAGGTTTTAGTCCACCCTCAAGAACAGCTCCTCACAGGGTGACTTGACCCAGTCATTCCCCTTCAGCCCAACATACTCTCCGGGAAAAAAATGGGAGGAAGGAGACTTGAGTTCCTGAACAAAAGGTGGGATATACATCTAAAAATAGATACATAACTAAGTATGTTCAGAGCTCCAGGGCTTGATTCCATGTTTCCACTGACCTTGACTGCCTAGATTGTTTCTCTGGTCTTGATTTGTGGATGCTGTTTATATTTCAACTATCCCTGCTTATAGTTCAGTGCAGATTTGCTAGTACAGCAGAATTAAACATTCTTCAGGGATGAAGGCAGAAAAGGGGAATTATGGCTATATTATTATGGAGGAAAAGCCCATAGAGAGACACAGTAAAGGGTAAAAGAGAATATGAAATTGTGACACATGTTAATACTACAATTGGTTAACTATCTACATGTTCTCGTGATTCTATCCTATTTAATTCCATGGAAATAATTCAGTTGATGTAGAGTTGCACATTCTAATGCAACCCAAACCTATTTTGTTTATTGTTTTATCCTGGGATAGTCCACAAAAGAGGGAATTACTGATTTGTAATTACAGAGGGATAACCTGGAGGGGATGCATAATTACTTGGAAGTTCTATTGGGATTGTGAAGTGTTTGTTCTCTGTCAGGATTTTGTGGAAGTTTTAGCTTCATCTGAAGGGAACCATATGCCTTAAGCCAACTGAAAGACCATGTCACACCCAGAACCTAGCTTTGCAGTGGGCTGAGGTGATTTCCCAACCTGAGACAATGATGAACTAGGCCATCAGTAAAGATATTGTCATGAACAGGCTAGAAAACAGATAAGAGATCAAATTTTGATGCGGCTTGGAGTTCAGTTTGCTTTTTGATGAGATGAGCTAATGAGACTGAGGAACTAACTTGACAGAAAAAGTTTTATAAGGCCTGAAGTGACCCCAGTGACTTCTGACCTCAGTTGTCCATCTACTGACTAGATGTAATCCAGAAAATGCAGGATTGTGCACGCTGGAATGTAGCATATCTAGAGGATACCAAGTGGGAAGGGAAATGTTAGAGTGTGGTGTTAGCCAATGCTACAGCCTAGAGATTGCCCTTCCTTCATAGAGTCCAGTTGTCTGGCCAAGTTGGAAATAGGAAGATGGATGGATGAACTTTCCAGTTTTTGTAGCCCACCCCAATCCACAGACCCTAGGTGGAATACAGCAGAATAAAAATATAGAGGAAAAAATACAGTTAATAATAATTTCTTTCAAGATGATCACCATAAACATTCAATTGTGATTCAAAACATAGTGGATTGATTGGGAAAGAAGAGCCTGATTTGAGAGTGCCCCCAACATCTTCTGTTCAGCCTACAAAGAAGTGTACAACTGATGAGTAATTTTCTATTAATATGTATATTTATTAAAATGTTCACTGGACCACATCAGGAGAACACCAGCAGCTTAATGGCAAGTGCAGTCACCCTTCAGTTTTACTCATTTACTGCTGTTGTTCCACCAAGCAAAGAGCAGGCAGGCTCTCATTTCCCACTTCAATCAGCAGGAGATGAGAACCCTCAGCATTAGCAAAATGGATATTGGTCTAAATCCTCTGGAAACTGCTGGGAATATTATCCCAAATTCTTGAGTGGTGTGTAAATTCACACAGAAATAGCTAATGCAAATGGTGCTTGTTATATCTTCTCCTCCATTAAGATTATCTTCAGAGGGAATGCCTACACTGGATCCCATATCAGAACTGTACTGTAGTGGTTGAAAGCATCACAATTTCCAGGAATTGTATCCAATGGGGTACTAAGAATCTTCCATTCCAATTTATGAATATTTCTGATTTATTTAAAATTTGGAAGTTGTTTTGGTCACAAGATATTAGAAGTTTGTTTATTATTTCAATTTCTAAGGCTGCTCAGTCACCAAGAACTTTGGCTAGTTACAGAAAGTTAGAGCAAGTAAATAATAAATTAAAACAATACTAAAAAAAAATTAGCCTTGCAGGGGCAGGAGGGGGGAGAAACCATAACAATTGAACAATAGCAATTCAAATGATGGACCAGCTGTAGTGATCCTCAAGGGCAACCCCATACAGAACATATCACAGTAAGTTTAGTGTAAGGTGACTAAGGCATGGGTGACTGAGAAGGGTCTCCTAATCTAGGACTGGGTATAATTGCCATTCAAGATGAATCTGTACAAAAAGGAGCAGTGAGTCTAGTATAGCTCCAAACTACACAACAGTTCCATCTGGGGAAATGCAACCCCATCCAGGACTAAAGGTGGCAAATCTTCAGACCTGATTTGTTCATGAATCTATAACCACTTGGTCATGCTAGGGTTCAACCAAAGGTTTTTCCTCCCTATCCAGATTCCAAAAGTTTCCAATCACTGTAACAGAACTTTGACAGCATCATTTTGTTGGCTTGGGAACAAGATAGACAGTTGGGCATTGTCAGATGATATCTGAGCCCATTTGGTTGGATAACTTTCCCCAAGGGCTTCATGTAGATGTTCAATAATATAATGGTATGTGGGAATGCCCTTGGGAGACAGGGCAACAAGACACAGCCAAGGAATGGTCAGATAAAAGGCAGCTGAGCCCATAGCAGGAATGTGGGTGGGGCAAGAGGCTTAGAAGACACCCTCTCTAGTTTCTTGGGATGTAAAGGGGACGGGGGAGAGAAGTACTTTCAGACTTGCAAGACTTTGTTAATTTAACCTAAGATTGATGTCAGCCTTACTAGGTAGACCAAACAGGAAACATGACCAGATGAGCTAATTCTACTTTATTGTAAGGTTACATTAACAGAATCTTGCAAGTCTGAAAATACTTCTCTTCCCCCCGCCATCCCTTTTACAGCCCAAAAAACTAGGGAAGGTCTCTTCTGAGCCTCTTGCCCTGTCCACATTCTTGCTGCGAGCTAAGCTGACTTTTATCTGACCATTCTCTTGGCCGCGTCTTGTTGCCCTGTCTCCCAAGGTCATTCCCACATGCCAGTACAATAGGAGAGGCAACAGCATTGTTCCCTGCCAAGAAAAGGGGCCTTGTCCTTGAGGTCTTCTCCCAACACCAGTACTGGAATTGACCATGGAGAAAGGAAGAGAACCACTTAATACTGTGCCACCCATTCTGAATCCTCATATCTGATTAATGGTATTGAAAGCCATTGAGAGAACAAGAACCAGGATAGATACACAATCCCTATCCTGGTTCCACCAGAGGTTATCCACAAATTTTGCTGGGGTTGCGGGAATTTCAACAAGTGAACTGCATAGGCTATTTTGGCACAGGCAGCTCTCTCTATGGTGTTCCCCAAGCTGGGTGTCTAAAAATGGTTACAAAAAATACCCTTTCCTGCTCAAAGTATCTTGGAGCAAAATGCATAGGGATCAATTGTTATATAAATATATAAGCAAAGAATACTTCAAATGGAACTTATCTTAACATCATAATCTTTAACATTAATGCCACCTCCAGCAAAAATGAAGCCAATAGCTTTACTGTTTACACTTGTGCTTAATACTTTATGAAACTATAATCATTAATAAAACTAGAAATAGCCATAAAATACAATAAAAATACATAAAAATACATAAATATTTTTATTACATTAATACATTAATAAATAATAATAATACAGATAACAGTCACAATCATCAAAATTTGTACTACTAATACTTTATAAACAGTTGTGCTATTCTAGTACTAGGAAGATAAACCAGGTGAAATCCAGACCATTTCTTTGAGTTAATGCGGTAGTATTCTGGTGTTTTACACTTTAATTCTTTTTTTAAAAAGGTAAATAATATATATTTTTTTAAAATCTGCATTAAATTGTTGTTTGCAACTTTCTGTAGACAAGGAGCTTTGAATGCAACTTCTCCCACAATATATGGTTTTTAATGTAAATCTCTGGCATGCCTTTTTCAAACAAATTTACTAAATGCAGGTGTTTTTTAACATGAATTTTTCTGATGTAAGCTTTTTTTCTGCCTTTGCATAATAATCATATATATAAATTCATAACACATTTCCATTACATAAATTATGGTAGGAATTTTCAACAACAGCTGCTTATATTCTCCACAGCTTCTATTCTATGTAGTGTTAACAATATCTTTTTAAAGTTTACAGTATTTCATTGAGATTCACCTTTGTCTTTGAAGACTTCTTTGGCTTTATGAGTTCCTTACAATTCTATAGATCTTATTACTTGCATACATTTCAGAATATAATGTTCCTTCTTTAACTCTGTTGTTTGTGAGTGTGAGAAGGAGCAGAATTGCTTTTGCCAGTTCATCCTGGTTGTTCTAGTTTCCTAGCATATCTTGGACACTGTTTCATTTTGAGCCAGCAGTGATAGAAGTGGTAAATTGGCAGTTGCCATTTTGATTCCTGGTCATT